GCCTCAAGCAGTTTTTTTTTTTTTCTTGAAAAAAAAAACACTCTGGCTATCGCCTAGGACCCAGGCCTGGGTCCTATGGGATAGCCCCGTTCCTAAACCCATATACATATGGGTTTAGGACCCAGTTTGGCGTGCAGGCCTGCACGCCAACTGCAGGCCAATCTACCCTGCAGCATATTGGCATGCAGGCGCGCACGCCAATCTGCGCTTGGCGTGCAGGTGCGCATGCCAATCTGCGCTTGGCGTGCAGATTGGCGTGCGCCATGGGGGTTGGCGTGCACTTATCAACCCCCCCAAATGAGTAATCAGCATAAATGATTATTCCTGATATTTTGTCTGGAATAAAGATTATATATAAAATCAAAAAGATGAACATACCATCTAACTTCATTGCTGCTTCCTCTCCTTGGACACTATTAGGGTGAGAAAACTCTCCAATATGGGTGATTTCTGCTCTCTTAGCCAGATGTTGTGAACATTCAAGGGGGTGGGCTGAAATAATATAGTAATGCAATAGCTGTAAGGAAACTATGATCTTTGTTAAAAGCATGGCTATAATTTATATCTTGACTGGTTATATTTTATAAAATTTCTGACAGATGATGATTAATAAACTGGTGATGCTGGTGATGCTGATAAACAGAATGATGGGACAGCAATGGTGAGAAAGTCAATTCACAGAAAACAGGGCTATTTATAATCCAATCTGTCTCTCTTGTTGAAGAGAGAGTACCTGGACAAGGAAGTTTATCAGTTATTAGTGCTTGTTATCCTGCAGGGGGTACACAACAGCTTTATTATTCTCCTGCTACAATTTGGTGATTGTTTTAATGAAGAATCAGTCTTGAAACATTGTTCATATTTATTGAACTTCTGTAAATTTGACTGTGAACTTGACCTTGCTATACCCCAAATTTTGTATTCCTATTTTTTGTTTTGCTGTGACAATTGTTCAGGAATTCAGTTGGCCCAACAAGCTTCCAGATCAGTATTTCATCCTGTACACCAGACTGTGGACCCTTAGCCGTTTGTACAAGGCGTTCAGACATTCAAATTTGGCTTTCTCTTTATGTGCAGAATGTGGTGTACAAAAGGTGGGTTTTGCTGAGACAAGAGAGGAAATTCAAAAATTTCTAACCACAGACCTGTATAAGGGCATAAAAACCCATACCACATACTCATTTGAGTCTGTTGGAATTCTGAAGCTATCATGTTCTCCTCTTTCTCTTTCTATCACTTACCTGTCACACTCCTTCATCTGTCACTCTCTCTCTCTCAGTTTCCAGATGAATATTCATCTTTTTCACCTTCTATCCCACAACTCCGCCACTGATGTATGTAGATAAATTGTCATGCCTCTGAGTTAGAAAATGAAAAGATCATCTGTCTTCTGCGCCATTTCCCTGAGGTCAATAACGAATACAACCTCTTGTAGCGTGTACGCTTTTCCGTCACGCATTCTAGCAGACTCTAGCCCCTCTTCGGGCTCTTAAGACCATTTTTTTTCCTCTGAGCTTTTTCCTCAAGGATTTCATCACCCGGTCTCTTCCCCCTTCTCTCGGCGAAAATCCTGAGTTTCTTCAGAGTCCGCTGACCTCAAGAATATATCTGACTGTAATACAAAATTACTAGCATAGTATTAGTATGATTATGCAGAAAGATGAATGTCTCAGAAAACAGGTATGAATTTTGCCAAAATCCAGACTTTTTTAACACCCCCCTATTGGGGGGCTAAGGCTTTCTGGGGTCCTGTTACTTTCATAATGCAATGTAGAAGGAAAAATTGAACTTGGGTAAATCTAATATTATTTTAACCGGATTGTGCAAACCATCCAGGATCTAAAAAAAGTGCATATACCACATGCATTCTGTGTCTATGCCTGTCTGCTGAGTTAACTGAAGCAAAACAACTGATAATGAAATCAAATTTGCATCTCATCTTCACTGTTTCCTTTTTTCAAGTTTTGTATGTAAACCAGATGTGTCTTTTACAGATGTTATTATCTATTCCTTGTGGGAAAGAT